CTCCCCTTTTATTCTCCATCCGTGAGCAAGCCAGCCTCAGTCATACACCTACATGTGTGGAGGATGGTTGTCATTCAGCCACTTACTGAACTTTCTTCCAGATGTCCTCAGACAAAGCCACTCCTGATCTGCTTGTGTATAGCACACAAGGTTGGAAGGGCTTAAAACTGTGTCACATCCCTTTCAAAATATGGTAGTCACACCATGTTTGCTGACCTGTAATTTTCTATCATCGTCACGTCATTGCAAAACAAGGCAGCACACACATTAATTGTGGAGCAGATGATCAGCTCCAGGCTGTGACCACACTGGAGAGATGGTGAGCACATCTACTACGTGGGTCCTTCCTGCTTGAGGATTACACACAGGCAGATGCTTCAAGTGAAGTTGCGCTTTTGTAAGTAACCTTAGGATTGCTTTGGTGTCTGCTTTAAGCAACATGCTGGCCTACGCTGTTATTTAGAAACTGATTTGTACTGGGATTAATCTAGGATGAGGTTTCATTGAGTTATGTCAGATGGTGTACTGCCTTTTCATGGGTTTTTGACCCTTAACAGCAAGCCTGACAACAGTTTCCAGCACTCACTGGCATTGCTGAGTAGATTCCGAGGTTTATTCAGTTGACATTCACTTTCTTATTTCAGGAACTAGGAGCAATTGCTGTGTTATTTCCTATGTTATTTCCAAATTTTCTTTTGAGATTGCTTGGTAAGTGCTTGGAAGAGAGATGCAATAACTGGTCTTTGAGACTTGTATTTTTGTCTGTTGGTGCTTTAGGCAGATGGGAATGGTATAAGGCCATGGAAAGTTATGGTTTCCCAAAATCATAATGAGGTATAACTACCTCCAGCACTCTTCACAAGCCTGTGTTGGTCTCCATTCCAGACCCTGGGCTACGGCATGTGGGACATGTTACTGCTCCCTGAAGGTCTCTGATAGTCCTGACCAGGGCATTGACTAATCTGAGCCCAATCATCTTTTCCCCAATACACTGGCGACACCAATGACATCAAATTTGAAAAATGTTAGTATTTCCTTATTGAGAAAGTTTGCTAAGTTGGCCCAGGTCTGTTCATGAACAGACCAAATTCTAGAACAGACGAAATTTTATCTTTAAAATACTCTTTAAAGCCAATTGTACAATCAATATTTAGGAACATTTATGCTTTTGTTGATTCAATTTCACGACTGTGGATATGTCCTGGGTTAAGCAGAGACAGAGTTAACTTTCTTCATAATAGCTAGCAAGAGGCTGTGTTTTGGATTTGTGCTGAGAAGAAAGCTGATAAAAAGTGATGTTTACAGTTGTTGTCAGGATGTCAAGGTCTTTCAGCTTCTCTGCTCCCCGCAGACAGGGGTGCAGGGGGTGGGGGCTGGGAGGGAACACAGCCTCGGATACTAGCCTAGGATTTGATCTTAGGTTCAGAACTGAAACTCAGAGCAGCCAATAATCTATTCCATAACATACACGTCATGCCCAGTATATAGGTGAGGACCCTACAGAAGATCGGCCCTTTTTGTTGAGGGTCCCTTTGGTTTCTGGATCTCTCTTGGCTCTGGATCATCTCGCTCCAGGTGGCCGCTCTCCCAAGTCTTTCCCCCCCACACCCCATTTAGCTCTCGGTCTGGGACGCTCGGACTGTTATCTCTGGGAACGGTGCACCCCCTGCCTGGGGGAATCGTGAGTGTGGTTTCATGACTCTCCCTGTTCCGGGATCGACTGTCCCTGCTCTGGGATCATTAGCTGGGAACAGGCTGAGTCTTTATCATCGGGTAGGGGGGGACAGTATCACAGTGTATCACTCATTTGTATGTACTATTATTTTCAATACTATTGTAGTTTAGTTATTAAATTGTCCTTATCTCAACCCATGAGTCCTTTTTTCCCTTTACCCCTTTAACTCTCTCCCCTATCCTCGGATCGGGGGTGGAGGGAGGGGGTGTGGGAATTGTGTGAGTGGGTGTGTGGTTTTGGCCCCCAGACAAGGGCAAACCCATCACGGAATAAAATGACTGTATGAACTATTCTAGACAGGTGTTGTAAAAAGAATTGGTTGTTTCGTCAAGCTTCACTCTGCAACTCAAACATGAGCAAAACCCCTACTGAGTGTGTAATCAGCGATGCTGGAGATCTCCCAGCCTAGCTGAGGGACTTTAAACTTGGAGAACTGCAACCAGATAAGCACTCCTTTCCTTATCAGGTTCTTTACTTGAGCAAGGTTATCCAACATTACTGCAAGGGAATCGTGCTTATCTGGCAAGGATTATACAAGAGTTGATGTTCTCTTATTGCTACAATCAGAATTATATTATCTTTCCCCATTCAGGATGCAAACCCTACAATGTATTATGGGGTCCTGACACCGTAGGTTAATGCTAGTGACTATTTCCAATCCTATAAATTGTGCAATCATGATGGTAGTGCTCTTTCCACCTAAACTTGCACATACGCATCAAAACACCCAGCTCTGGTCTCCCAACTTCAAATAACTCAAAGGTCTTAATTTCTTCCTTTGTCTAAGCTACGCGAGAGTTTCTCTGTCAAAAGCTACCTGTTGGCAACTTCTCTCCTTCCCACCCCAGTTATGATAGGTACTGGTCCTAAATCACACACTAGCCTCAGTGCTGATATGCTGCTTGAAAAGCCTCTGCGCGTGGCCTGAGGTTGCTGGAGAAGTCTCTGCTGACTTTCCAACCTCTGTTAGTACCTAGTACTAGCACTTAGTACCTCCGCTGGATAACTAGTACCCAGTGGAGGTAGAAGGCATCAGACCTGATGGTGGATGAAGTGGCCGACCCTATGAGTAAAAGGGGAGGGCTGTCTTGATGCTGTTGAAGGAAACCTGATGGTAGAGCAGAAAAACAGAAGCTGGGTAGGGGTTTCTCCATCCATAGGGTGTTTTTTAACTCCTCTTGGAACGCACAGTGGAATTGCTCACTACACAACATGTGAAACCCATCTTATGTAGTGGGACTTTTGCACTCATAGGAGTGAGAAGACATTTTCAAAAGACCAAAGTAGACACAGGGACAGAAGTAAGGTAATGAAACAGTGAAGGCTCTGGCCACACCTGCTTTCAAAATGGCTTACACACACAGTCCCTTTGTGTCAGCGGTTGCAGTGCTGATAGAAAAATTACAGTCTGGTGGATGGAGTAACACATGTGTTTGGGCTGTGTTTCACAACTCACATGCTGCTCAGAGACTGTGGCTGGTATGAACATGAGAAATCAACCTAATCCATGACCAGGAAAAATATACTCAAGTAGAACACCTGGTAGCCAACTGAAGGCTTGGTCTTTTAGGTGGTCACCAACCAGCTACAGAAAGGTTGTAAGGTCATGGGCTGGAGGTGGAGAATGAACCCCTTTACTCTGTGCAATACCTGCTGCTTCAGCCAAACAGCGGTGTTGCATAAACTCTCCTCCGTTCTGCTGTCCGTTGGCAAGACAGCAAGCTTGGTGCTTTTCCAGAAAACACTGCAGAGGTTTTGCAAATTGCCAGTTGCAAATACAGTACCACTTGGGCGTAAGGACTGTATGGAGGTTGCATGGGCCACTGTCACTTTTGAAGAGTGGTGTAACTACCGAGTGTCTCCCACTCAGGCAGCTGCTGAAGCCTGACCTGCCCTTGGTGTGTCGATGGAGAGGTCAGTGTTCTCCTGTGGCCTTTTGAAGCTGGTGGAGCCCAAGTCCTTTTGTTGCTCCAGGCGTTCTTCTAAGAGGCATTCCCAAAGGCCCCTTGGAGTTAGGAAATAACCCTTTACAAAGAAAATCTTTTGACCTTTCTTTTTTTTTTTTTACCATGGCTATCATGAGCTTAAGGTACAACTCCATAGCTGAAATTCCTCACCACACCTCTCCGGCTGCTTTTGGAAATGTAACCCTTTGCAAGCATGAAAGTCATGACCACATGGCCAAGCAGAGGAAGTTATCAAAGATATGACCAGTGCACACATCACTTAATTGCAGGACATGTAATGTGGTCCAGCACAGTGTCAACGTAGCAGGGCTCTGAGACAATGTGCTCTTTAACACTGGGGTTGATAGAGCCACCGCCGTTCACACCACCAGCCTGATCAGCTACGACAGTGGGCTCTGCCTGGTAACGTATTTTCCTCTGTGTAATTGGATTTGCATTGGAGCTATCCTGAGGGTGAAAAAGCACCAATTTCTTTTTTTCTTGGTATCTTGGTAATGCCATAGGGAGGGTTACTGGGAATATTTCTGAGGATAAGTATGCCTCACAGTGTGGGAGACCCACTGGGAGAAGGAGGAAAGGAAGGTAGAGAGCAGGCAGATGGCTGGTGAGAAGATTTGCAACTCATGCTTCTGGGTTGAAGTTAAACTCTAATTTTTAAGAGTCTGGTGAAGCATTAGAATTCATATATAATATTAACCATGTATATTAAGGATAGATCTCTGCTTGGGTCAGGAATCTCTAAGGAGATCCAAAGGTTTGCTTTTTTTCAGGCTACACTTATGTAATAAATAGTCTTCCTATGAGTTTCTGCTAGCTTCAGTTCACAAGATCCGTGTGTTAATAGTGGCTTCTGGGTGCAAAAGCCATGCAACAAAGAAATTGCAAAAGTATAGACATAGCCCAGCCAACCCAAATGCTTTCTTTGCATAGCATAAACTCTTACTTCAAATCAATTTCCTCTATGTGACAACTGGCCCTACAGCATTTTCTGTTGCTTTAGTTCTTGCATTATAAAGCTGCTTCTCTTCTTTTTGCCATTGAAAGTACAAAAATGGGTCTTGCCTAGTACCAGATCCAGTCTGTCTGGAGGAGTATGCAGAGCCTTCTGTGGACTCTAACGGAAGCTGGAACTGGGAATCCCCTCCGCTTCCCTGGTCCCAACCAGGGAAGATGGTCTTCAGATACCTGAAGAACTTAACCTGTCATAACCAAGTAGAAACAGACATTCATAAAAACATTATATAATAATAGTATTAATAAATAATAATAATAATTATTATTATTTACACAGATACAAGATGTGGCTGTTTATTGCAGTCCTGGTTTCAATACAAGCACCTGTGAACTCAGCAGATGCCATCAAGCACAAAAAGGTTATAAATCCCGAGACCTCCATGAACATTGTAAGTCAGAAGTTTGAATTTCCATTCTGTCTGAAAGTTTGTGGACGTTCCGCTGGGGGAGGGAGGGATGGAGGGTATGTATGTGGAGAGGGCTTGGCGTGTGCTGGTTTTGTTGAGCAGGGTGACATGATGTTGCTTCCACACCATCATTAACAAGTCCTGTTTCCTGAAGGAGTCCTCTTCTTTCCAGAAATATAAAGCAGGTCAGTTAGAGAAGAAAGTAATACCAAGCTGGATTTCCTCAGACACCTTTCTGGAGGGCAGAAAGTTCTGCGTGGCTCCTCTCCTCCAGCCGCAGCAGGTTGCACATGATCATGTCCAGGCAAGTCCTGAAAGTCTCTGACTGTGGGTTTAGATGGACCCAAGACTTGGGCAGTAAAATTGCTGAGAAAAAATATCTTCTGCCAACCGTGTTGCAAAGCGAGTGTACAGCGACGTGTAGGCAGGATCACAGCTGGATTTCACTATCTGGAAACTTCCCAGTCTGTGGAGTTTTCAGCATCAATAAAACTCAGGCAGAGCCTCAGGAGCCCCGCGATAAGTCCTACAGGACTTGTCCTATCACCGTCCCAGTCAGCCCAGCTCGGCAGGTTTGATAAGCCCCACCACTTTATCTGCCCCATGCATCAGCTCAGAGCATGATATGACACGTCCTGCCGCCGGTGACAGCTGTAAGTAAATCCTTTGGGTTTCAGTCTTTGTTTTCGGAAACATTTCAACGCATGTGCTACTGCATGCTGCAGAGCAGCCCTGCTACTGCCCAGCTGAGCATCTCCTCTTCCCTTGGGTATCTCGCTGGGGCAGGTGTGGGATTCGGGCACCATATCCTCTCTCAAAAATGTCATCAGCTGATCCAGAGACACCCCAGGCAAAGCAGTGTCCCGGCTGCCGCAGTGTTTCGGTTTTGCAAAGGCATCCCAGGCAATGGGGGATGCGCTCTTTGAGTCAAATGAGCACCTCGGCTACAGAAAGCTTTCCACCTGTCTTTTTCTTTCCCCAGAGCCAAATGATCAGCTACAGAGGGTACCCCAGTGAGGAGTATGAAGTCCTGACACGTGACGGCTACTACGTCAGCCTAAACAGAATTCCTCATGGAAGAGAAAATCCTAGGAACAGAGGTACGGCTCTATTTCACAAGGAAGCCAGAAAAAAAAACACCCCCCTCCCCCCCAAAAAAACCTTTTCCCCAAAAACCCCCCAAACAAACCCAAACTTAATACAACAAGCAGGTGAAGAGATGAACCTTACCAGGCCAGGGCTTTATTTGCTAAAGCAAAAATACCAAATCCACACTACTTCTCCAATGTAGAGTCAAATTCAGCAGCCAGCACAGGAAAGGGTGCCTGCCACACAGCAACCGCCTTTCAGATCAACCCGAGACTTGGTTTTGAGGTTCAGAGAGTGCAGATGTATCTTAAGTGAGCTCCTCATTTAAGTTTTTTCCCCATAAACTTATGACTTCGGGGTTCTAACGATCTCAGGGACGTGCCTGCACATCTGGGCTTTCACATGGTTGTGGTCAGTGGCCATGGTGCTGAGCTTGTGGGGGTGAGCACCTGGGGTCTGAAAGGCTGAGGAGGGATGTCCACAGCCTCCTGGCCTCAGACAACGAGGGCACCCACCATCAGACAGCTACAGCAAGGATTTCTTCACCAGCAGATATCATTAAAATGCACATTGCGTGTCCTCTGGCAGTGCAAGAAATAGGCTTTATTGGTCTGAATTTGGGGTGAGCAAGGAGAGAAATTCTGTTTCAACAAAAAGCGCTGTTCCTTTCACATCCAGGGGCTAAGCCAGTCGTGTTTCTCCAGCATGGGGTATTCGGAGAAGGCAGCAACTGGGTGGAAAATCTGGCTAACAACAGCCTTGGCTTCATACTAGCAGACTCCGGCTATGATGTCTGGGTGGGAAACAGCCGAGGGACAAGCTGGTCCCAGAGACATCAGCACCTTTCAGCTGACCAGGTTGAATTCTGGGATTTCAGGTGGGCTGGAGCGGATTACAAACGCATGGCAAACTTCTCTGCCTTGCCACTAGCCTCTAGGCAGAGGTGGGTGCCTCCAAGCAGGCAAGCCAGAGCACCTAATCCCCAAGTGCGGCCTCCCCCAGATCTCTCGGCGATGTGCCTGGGGAGGAGGGAGGTACCTGCAGATCTGCCTGCTGACATGGTGCCAGCACCTCACTGCCCTCCTGCTGTTACCATATAACTGATGCACTGCTCCTGTGTTGCAGCTTTCACGAAATGGCAATGTACGACCTCCCAGCCATGATCGACTTTGTTCTGCAGAGGACCGGGCAGCAGCAGATCTATTACATTGGCTACTCCCAGGGCTGCACGATTGGTGCGTTAGAAGGTGTTGCACATCACATTGCCCAGACCACCTTGAAAAATCTTCATATTGGTGTCTGTAAGCAGAAAGCAGAGAGGTCCCGTCTTTGTGGGCTGCTGAGCAGGCATGCTAGGTAGAAGGTCTCTTGTGGTGAGAAGTCCCACAGCGGCCATGCTTTCCATAGAAGACATCTAGGAGGACCAGCGTGCTCCTAGGGCTGTAAGAAAGACTCCCGGTGACCTCAGTAAGCTCCTCGTTGCAAGTGGAGCAATTATAATTCCACCTAGAAAACCAGATTGCAATGTTCCACCTCAAAACTAAAGGCATTTTGCATGGAGGTCACAGCTTCTGCGTTCTGATGAAACGCAAGGTGCTTCTCGTCACTAGCTGGGTCTGCAGGGGTATTAGAGAAAACCTCTTGGCAGTGGCTGATGGAAGATGGCAGTACTGCTCCCTTCACCTGTGAATGGGGCAGGACTTCCCATCAGTGGTAGTCCCATCAGCAGCCACTTCTAACCATAGGAATAAAGGCGTTGTCTCCTTCTGGCCATCTCTAGCACTAACGTTAAGCACAAGGGTGGCGAGAGATCCCAGGTTTCTAACTGGAGCTAAGGCCAGATAAACAGATCTGGGCAGTGGGTCCAAGTAAACCCACAGACTAAGCACCTGAAGAAAGATCAACCAAGTCTCAGGTTGTTTTGTTTTGTTTTTGTTTTTTTTGTTTCCTCAGCATTTGTTGCGTTTTCAGCCATGCCAGAACTGGCTCAGAAAATCAAAATGTTTTTTGCCCTGGCTCCAGTAGTGACAATGAGACACAGCAAAAGTCCTGTGTTGAAATCATTCTTCCTTCTGGACAAGCAAAACAAGATGCTTGAGGTAGGGGAACACTCCACGCTCTCCTCCCTCAAACACACTGGTGCAAGAAAAGGGACAGTGACAAGACACTGTGCCCAGGGCTATCTGATGGGCCAGAAAACAGTTAATTCCTGCCGATTTGGAAGCACAGGCACAATTTGGGTGCAGACGTGCTCCTGCATGGTCACTTTGTTGAGTACATGCCTTCCTTCCATCTCTAGGATCTCCAGGTGTTGAAACTGGTCTTTCTATAGGGGCACTTGTTGAATTCCCAGACAGACTGCCTGGAAATGAGAAGCTTTACTGTGCTGGTTTTAATGCCAGTGAAAAAATGAATCCAATGCTTGGGGGAGGTGGGAGGAAAGAGGAGAGTCCTGAATATTGCTTTCCCTGGTGCTTACTCCATCAGCATGCCTCCTGCAATGAGCCGGACACGTCTCAGTGAGGCAGGAGGGCAAAGGAAGAGCAGGTTTGACTTGTGTGGAGGCATCACAGGAGGCAATGCGAGGCTAGGCTGCAGGAAACCAACACTGCCCTTTGCTTCTGCAGATTGTGCTTGGCAAAACGGATGCCTCACTGCGGGTAAGGAAGCTGTGGAGGTTTCTCCCCGTGCTGTGCAGGCACCCGCTGCTGCGCAAGCCCTGCGCCAACCTCTTCTCTCTGCTGGGCGGCTGCAATGAGAAGAACCTCAACATGGTGGGTGAGGCTTCTCCTCCCCAGATAGGAAAAGTCCCCAGGCTCTGCTGGGTGAATGGCAGTGGCCAGGTGGCACCCGATGGCATCTCTGAGTTAGGGCTGCCTGTCACCCAGACCCCCCACACCCCTGGGGTGCAGCCCCCGCACCCCTCCCCCCCCACCTCCGGTCTGCTGAAGCCATGTCAGGGTGACCACAGGTAGTCACTGAGGTCTTGAGCACAGTTCCCGAGTCCTGAGGAGGTATCACTGGGAGCCGGGTTTACCTCATCCTTCATTGCCATCCTCCTCCTGGACCTATCTCAGAGCAATTGATTTTTAATGCAAATGATATCCTTGAACCCAACGCGGCTCTCTGGGCAGCAGGACTCAGCAGTGGCTGCTTTGGGAAATGCATCATCTGGCAAACTGCCATCCTCACTCCTATCCCAAGAAAAGCAATGAGAGCTTGAATACATTTCCTTGCAGACGCGGCTGGATGTGTACACCTCCCACTTTCCAGATGGGACATCTGTCAAAAATGTGATGCACTGGGCCCAGGTGGGTTTCCTGAAAGGCAGATGCTTCACCCCTGAGATGGTCCCTTCATCAAGAGCCTGGTGTGTCCAGGGCAGACATCAGAGGTTGGGTATCTTGGATGTTAGTAGCTCATAAGAAAGGCAAGAAATCAGCTGTACAGAAGAGATGCTGGATGCAGGATGAGTTGCCCCTTTGGGGACCAAGGGACACCAGGGTGTGCCAGGCAGGACAAGGGAAGGGATGGGGAGGCCACAGCTGGATGCTGGGACCAGTCTGGGGAGCCCAGGGATCCCCAAAGCAGAGCAAGGCTGTGGACACCATGGCAATGGTGGGTGGGGGCCAAGGCATGCGAGGGGAGGCTGGGGGAGCTGGGCTTGCTCAGCTGGAGGCAAGGAGGTGAAGGAGGATCCAACAGCATGTCCCCCTGCCCAGAGAGGCCCCAGGGATGCTGGCGCTAGACGCTGTCAGGCTGAGAAACCTGCTGCAGCATCAGCTCTCCTGGAAACGTGGCCAGGCTGGAGACCCCCACTCTGGTGCCTCCTTGCAGAGCCAAATTATAGGTGATGTGGAAGGCAAAAAAGGTCTTTTAAATCAATACAACTACCATGCAGGTATCTGAGCTTTCGCCCCCAGCATAGAAGCAACTCTTGTAATAACTGGGCTCACTGATGTGTCTGTACTCTGAGCCCAAAGTGTCATGAGAAGGTAAGGATGACCAGGTTGTTGAAGGAAAATGGGCCAATGTGAAGTTCTCTAGCAGCATCCTGCACACACAGGGCTGCTGGTGATGAGCAGGTTTCCAGAGGCACAATCATTGCACTGGGGTAGCCAAGGAGTCACACACAACACTTTGGTTTGTCAGCCCATGGCTGGGGCCAGGCGAGGAGCTGGAGGTCAAAGCATCACCGTGTTAAAAAAGGGCAAAAAGCCTGGCTTTGCAGGGACACCAGCTCCTCCTGCAACATCCTGTATGAGCTCCCTCTCATTGCTCGGTCCCTCAAGGAGGCCGGGAAATGATGGACCCACGTGGCAGAGCTCGCTGGCCTCCCACTGCAGATCTATCCTCTCCTCCTAGATGGTGAAATCAGGAGAATTCAAAGCCTTTGACTATGGCAGCAAAAACCCAGCCGTGTACCACCAGGTAAGGAGCTGCAGCAGCAGTGCTGGTGGCTGGAGATGCTGGGGGACTGTCCTGGGTAATGCAGGGACAGGCTGGCTCACTGGGGTTGACCACGACAGCGGTTCCTCAGAGGTCTCTGTGTCCCTCCAGGAAACACCTCCCTTCTACCGAGTGGAGGAGATGCCCGTGCCCACTGCAGTGTGGTCAGGGGGGGCAGACTGGGTGGCTGATTTGAAGGATGTCCGCCTGCTGCTGCCCCGCATCACTCACCTCGTCACTTATGGCCACCTCCCTGACTGGAACCACTGGGACTTCATCTGGGGCTTGGACGCCCCTGGACGCCTCTACAGCAGCATCCTGAAGATGATGGAGGTGTCCTGGTAGAGCAGCGCCACGCTTGTGGTGGCGGCGCTTCCCATGCATCTTTTGGTCACCAGGGTTTGTCCTCCTCCTTGCTTGAGAGCTCCTCAAAGACCAGTGGCACCTGCTGAAGAGCCCCGAGGTGATGGCGGAGCCATGTCCTGGGTTGCACGATGGGGATGAGGGGACCCTGCCATGACCCCACAGTGGGTGCCCAGTGGGTCAAGGATTAGAACACCCAACCAGCGAGGAGATGGGTGGGAGGTGGGCTTGTTGGGTGTGGTGGTGGGGATGCTGGGAGGGGGTCTGAGAGCACTCCCTGACCATGGCACAGGAAGGGACGGAGGGGATGGATGTGACCAAACCCCTCTTGGCAGTGACAAGCAATGCAATGAGCAGCCCCCCGGTCCCCGGCTTTGGGGGGGGGGTTCAGGTTGGATGTGGGGAACCCATCTTCCCCCAGACAGGTCCCCAGGGAGGTGGAGGGTCTCCAGCTGGGGAGGGTTCAGGGCTCAGCTAGGCCAAGCCTCACACTTGCCTGCATTGTTCAGCCCCCAGGGCTGAGCAGCCAGAGATTCCCAGGATGGCTGCATAGCTCAGCATCAACCTGCTGGGAATGTCCATCCTCCATCCATCCCTGGGAGCTGGTGGCCCCAATAGCCCCAGGGCCAGCTCACAGGGCCACCGTCCGCCCTCAAAGCTGCTGCCAGGCGGGTGTCTCGTGGTGGTGCACAGCCCACCCTCATGCAGTCCCATGCTGCTGCTTGCTGGAAAACTAGCAGTAGGGAAAATCCCTCTGAAATAAACGCTCAAAGAGGATTTCAGGAGCTTGAACTGCAGCTCTGACACCCCCAGCTCTTCCTTGTGTGTAAATATTTTCCAGGGGGTTGTCTGTACCCAAGGCCGGCAGGGATAAACCCCGCTGAGGTGACCACAGCTGCAGCCAGCCAGGCTCACTGCTTGGCAGGGTGCTGCCCAGGGGTCCCAGCTGGGAGCATCCTGGTACCCACACACCCCACCGCTGCTGGGGCAGGGGCATCCCCCAGGCAACACTGCGGCAGAAATGACCACTGCCAAAGAATCAGCAGGCAGCCTCGGTGTTGTGGTTTTATACAACAACCGCTCACTCACCCTCCCATCCTCCCAGGGATGGCGAGAGGATTAAAGGGGTGAAGGGAAAAGAGACTCGTGGGGTGAGATAAGCACAATTTAATAACTAAACTACAATAATAGTGGAAACAATAATAATGATGATAATAATACACAAACGAGTGACACACAGTGACACTGCTCACAAACCCATGACCAAGGCTCAGCCCATTCCCAGCTAATTATACCAGCGCAGGGAGAGTCCTGAAACCATGATCTCAAGATGGAGATAAGAGCCTTAGTGTCCAAGAGACTGAGATGACCCTGAAAGAGAGGTGACCCAGAGGGAGACAACCCGAAGCAAGAGAGAGCCCTTCCGGACAGAGCCTCACCCATAACCTGGCCATGCCGGGCATGGGATGGAACAGACCATTGGCCAGTTTGGGTCTCAGTCCTCAACCTGAG